AGCAAGATATGCATCCAAACGCCTTCTGAATGAGTCCAGAGAAGGTGCTTGCACCAGCTTTGGGGGAGTCTGTTCCAGACCCTGGACACACGGACTGTAAAGGAGTTTTTCCTTATGTCCAGTCTAAACTGGCCTTCCAGGAGTTTGTGGCCATTAGACCCTGTTATCCCTTGGGGAGCCCTGGTGAACAACTGTTCTCCCAGATCTTGGTGCATCCCCCTTCTATACTTATAGACTGCCACTAAGTTCCCCCTGAGCCTTCTCTTTTCCAGATTGAAAAGCCATTTGCCACCCCTACTGCCTCCTTCCCCGCCAGCGCCCCACGCAGGGCTTGCACCCCCTGGCAACTGACCTCCACCACTTGCTCCTCCCCTTCCCCCACTTAGCCCTTCCCCACTTTCCCTCTGTTGCAGCTCTGGCTCCAGCTCTCACCACACCCCAATGCTCACCCCGACTCCAGCCTGGGGCATGGAGCACATGGTTGCTCTGGGGCTGGAGCTGCTGTCACTGCTGTGTAGCTGGGCTGAGGCCAGTGCACCCGTGTGCTCTGTGACCTGAGCTAGAGCCAAGATGGAGGGTAAAAGGCACCGGGGGGTGGGGCAAAGGCTATGTGGGGGGGCAGGGTGCGGGGTGCAGCAACTCTAACTGGTCCTGAGCCTGGGTCAGGCCCAGAATCGGAGCCACTGCCTTCCCTTCCCCCACTTGTACTTGAATCCAAGATGAGGGGCTCCCCCCTTGAATGCTGAACCAGGGAAAAACCTCATCTTGAATTCAGGTGCATATGGTAAAGCTCTTCAGCTCTTCTTATAGTTTCATAGTTTCTAGGATCGGAAGGGACCTGAGAAGATCATCTAGTCCGACCCCCTGCCATGGCAGGAAAGAGTACTGGGGTCAAACGACCCCAGCAAGGTGTTCATCTAACCTCTTCTTAAAAACCCCCAGCGTAGGAGCCAGCACCACTTCTCTTGGAAGTTGGTTCCAGACCCTAGCCGCCCTGACCATGAAGTAGCGCCTTCTGATGTCTAACCTAAATCTACCCTCTGCAAGCTTGCGACCATTGTTCCTGGTCACTCCTGGCTGTGCTCAGGGGAACAGTGACTCCCCCAATGCCTTCTGATCCCCCCTGACCAGTTTGTAACAGGCCACAAGATCCCCCCTCAGCCTTCTCTTGTGGAGGCTGAACAGGTTCAGGTCCCGTAGTCTCTCCTCATAGGGCCTGCCCTGCAGTCCCCTGATCATGCGAGTGGCCCTCCTCTGGACCCTCTCCATGCTGTCCACATCCCTCTTGAAGTGCGGCGCCCAGAACTGGACGCAGTACTCCAACTGCGGCCTGACCAGTGCCGCATAAAGGGGGAGGATCACCTCTCTGGACCTGCTCGAGATGCATCTGTGGATGCATGACAAGGTACGGTTGGCCTTCCTAACTGCCTCCCCACACTGCCGACCCATGTTCATCTTGGAGTCAATGATGACTCCAAGATCCTTTTCCACCTCCGTGCTGACAAGAGGGGAGCTCCCTAACCTGTAGGTATGGTGCCGGTTGTTCCTCCCCAGGTGCATCACCTTGCACTTGTCCGTGTTGAAACCCATCCTATTCTTATCCGCCCACCCTTGTAACCTGTCCAGGTCCGATTGTAGCCTGCTTCTTCCTTCTAGCATGCCCACGTCCCCCCACATCTTAGTGTCATCAGCAAATTTGAACAGGGTGCTTTTCACCCCCTTGTCCAAATCACTGATGAAGATGTTGAACAGCGCGGGCCTGAGGACTGAACCCTGCGGAACCCCACTGCCCACGTCCTTCCAAGTTGAGAAGGACCCATCCACTACCACCCTCTGGGGTGTTATAGTTATATATACCTTATAGTGTTCAAGGTGTCTTATTTAGCAGACACGTGAACAGTTTTTGATGTTTTCTAGTGCCTTTTTATACCTGAAGTAAACCTTTGTAGGCCTTTAAAGACAGGTTAGTTATCTGACAGTTTCTAGAGTTGCTGAGTTTCTGCTACAGGGATAACTGTCTCCCGCTAAAGAAAAAAAAGTGGCATGAAGGGTCAGAACTGTTAGGTGTTTCTTTTAAATTACAGCCTTGTTTTGATGATCCTTTTCAAGCTGTTTGACGAACTGTTCAAGCTATTAAAACAGTGTTTTGAGGGAAAAGGTCTCCTTGTAACTCCCAAATACTATGGGGCCTGACCTGGAAATGTGCACCTGCACTTTGTGCGTGATGAAGGAGATAGTTTTGGTGAAACAGTTGAGGTGTCGGTAGAGCTCAGTCTCACGATGTGGGCAGCAGCACATTTTGCAACTCAGGACCTGATCTCCTTGTGAAAAGGGATTGCTACTTCTCTTCTTTTTGTTTCCCTCTAGATCTCCCCGGAAGTCTTGTGCAAGGAGGGGATCAGGGTGCACCGTACTGTACAGCAGAGTGGACAGTTTGTTGTCTGCTTTCCGGGATCCTTTGTGTCTAAAGTGTGTTGTGGCTACAGTGTTTCTGAAACAGTGCACTTTGCTACCACCCAGTGGACAAGCATGGGTTTTAAAACTGCCAAGGTAAGGCAAGAAAAGGAGGTGAACACAAATTAGCTGCATCTTAGTCAACAAATTAAGCCCTTCAGCACGAGTGGCATGGAGACTCATGGAACTCCAGAGGGATTTGCAAAGTTGTATTTTAAAATAATAATTATTTCTGCATTGCACGTTGCATTTTTTTGGCTCCAGAAGAAAATCTGGAAGTAGTAAGTGGGTGCATCTACATGTGCCATTAAGGCAACATAATAAACTGTGGCACAGTTTGCACCAGTCAGCTGCTCCTGGGTCATAACCACAGCAGTTTGAGCTGGGGCGGAGTAGCCCCGGACTGGCAGAGAGCCTGGAGGGTCAGCCCTGGACTCTGGGTAGTGGTGTTGGGCGGCAGAGGGGCTGATTGGGGCACAAGGGTGCTAAAGTGCAGGGCTGGGCAGCAGGCAGCCCCTGTCCTTTAGCACCCTTTTGCCCCAGCCAGCCTGTGTCACTGTCTACACGTGTTGCAGCAGAGTTAATTAATTTACTGCACCCTAATACTGGTGCACGTGTCGATGGTGATGCTTTAGTGTGGAGCTGATTAGTCAACTCTACAGTAAAGTCCACGTGTAGATGCACCCACTGATAACCAAAAAAAACCTCATGCGGATCTGAAAATGGGAGGAGGTTAATTTAGAGTTAGGCTTGTAACTACTGACAGGGAAGCTTCACAAAAATTTATAAAGAGATTTCAACTGTATATAGTGTGATGCTTGCTGGATTTATCTGATGCAACTTGTCCAAGTGCAATTTGAATTTCAAATGTAAATAGCAGATAAAATATAGTCATCACTTCCTTTGATAGGCAAAATGGATTACCATATTCCTTTGAATACGACAAACATTTTTTAAACCATTTCTTCTAAAACTAGCCTGCATATTAAATTTAGGTTTAACAAAAAAAGTAAAAAGCTCTTATAGGCACCTTAGAATCCATATCCTTGTAATGGTGCCTGTAGGAAGTGATTTACTGTCATTTTAAACTGAGTCAGAAGATTTGAGTGCACGTAAAATTCAGTTACATTCTTTGTATTCAGATGAGTACAGTAGCTTTCACAGCTCTGCTGTGATGTTTGCATCTGTTTCTGTCCTTCATGAGAGACAAAGGACTGATTTGACTTGCAGGCAAAACTCTGGGGCCTATTGACCAGCCACATTTGACCGTAGGCAGCCAGTAAATTCACTTCCTTCCTCCTTTCCACACCATTAACAGATACGCCACCCAGCCACAAAAGCAAATGCACTCACCCAGCCTGCTGCTTCTGTAGATGACTGCTTGGCCTCTACTCCTTGTGGGGGACCCATTCTGTACATATATACTCCCAGAATGCAGTGTTGGTTTCCATGTATTGGCAGCATTTATAGATAAGCCAGCAGTATGATTTATCATGTTTTAGCATTGATCTACATGTTTTAGCCTCAGATCAAACCATCGCTATGTTCCAGGATTTTCAAGTTGGGGAAGACAGCTTGACTGTGGGCAATAAGCAATTACATTTACCTTGTCAAGATCCTGGTTTTGGTCCTGTTGTATTCTGGGTAAATAAAATTCTTCCCAGACTGTTTTTACATTCAGTATATTATCAACACAAACACTTGTTTAAAAGTGAGGTTGTTTGTGGGTGGAATGGGATTTTGATCGAACCCTTTAGCAACTGGAGAGCGGCAACTGACGATGCACATCATATACACACGGTCCTGTTCAGCAGTTGTTGGACTGGCTCTTCATGTTTTAGCCTCAGATCAAACCGTCAATACCCTCCAGGATCTTCCAGTTGTGGAAAAAGCTTCTCTTTTAAGAGACAAGGCTTCTTACCAGCAATGAGTGATAGTTCTGCCTGTCCCACAAACCAAAGAGTGCTTTCTTTTGATTAACAGGCTATACGAGCTTTGTGTGGGAAAGATAGATAAAACCTGATGGATTGAAAATTCAGCAGACTCTGTGATAACCTGCCTTTTACAGCCTTTAGAAGAACCTGTATGGCTGTATCAAAATAACCTGGAAACCTCTATAGTATTGTTCCATCTGGCCCCCTACGCCCACCCCTGATCCTTCCCCCCTGCCACTTCTTTCTTCAAACCATGCCTTCTTCTCAGCTCCCTTTTGGAAATTCCAGCTTGCTTCCTTCACTTTAACTAGCTGCTCTGCCACTTTCAAAGACAGTCTGACTCAGTGCTTTTAGGAGGTCTGTGAAATATTATGCGTAGGCAGCAAGATTCCTCCTGAAGACCGTTAATGAACTGACAGACATTTGCATATCTTGTCAACTTTCAGTCCCAGACAACAATATTTTTAGTTTGCACATGCTTTGATAATATATTGGCTTTGTTCTTATTCTAAGTTGTTGTGATTTTATTCTATACTGTACATGGTGCACTGTGTTGTCTTGGTCAGCTGTTCTATATTACGTTTTGGCATGTGTCCTCAGGATGCCTTATAGGGAAATCTGAACTCACTGAACAGGATCTGAATGATGTCATCTGACTAATCTGGCTGTTATGAACTCAAGAAAACAAAATTCATAAACCAGTGGATGAAGTTAGGGAAAACTGTCATTTCAAAGTCCATCCTGTCATCTGGTAACATCCTATAAGATACAACGGGCAAGGTTTGGGACTGCCACTTCAACACTGATATGTGGGATTTCTCATTATGAGCATTCAAGCCAGTCGCAGCTCTACGTTTTGTGAATTGATTTTAAAAAATAAATTTATTATAGTGCATCCATGATTGAAGAGGGGCTGACGGAAGGGGAGCAGCATGCAGGGAAAAGCCTGCACTGCTGAGTGGGGGGAGAGGAGGAACAGCTAGAAGGGAAGAGCCTGCACTTATCTCCTCACTGGAGCCTGCACTTCACTTGCTTGTGTCTCTCCCAGCTGCGCCCTTCCACAGCTGTCATAGCACCCAGGGTGGCAGCTGCAGTGCCTTAGTTGAGATTCACTGTCCTGTCCCATTGTTCTCCCTCTTTCACTCATGGTTTCCCAAAGTGAGGTGCCCCCACAGTCAGCCTTGGTTGCTCTTTCCTCACTGCTGCGAATCAAGGAGCTGCAGAACATCCTATGTGCCTTTCCTAATGGCCTGGCCAACCCAGTCCCACCCTCCTGCAGCAGAAGCACCAAGTGGTCAGCTCTTTCCTCCTCTGCTACCAGCACTATTGAGTAACTTTCCTGGCACACTTGTTAATGGAAAGTACTTGGGTGGCACTGTAATCGCACATGAGACTTCACTTTCACTTGGTGCTCTCTCAAAATGGAGCAGTCTGGGGGTATTTGTACTGGAGAGGAAGTGCAGAGAGTATTTTGGTAGGTATGTAGAGAGTGAGGAAGAAGTTCAGAAATTAAGCTTAATGTTCTAGGTGTCTCATCACCTGGTTAGTGAGGACAGCCTGCAAATCAGGCTAAGTTTAACTCGGTTTTCCATTTTTGTTTTGCATCTACCTTTCCACGAGGTGTTCCTTGCAAAGGTGGCACCTTCAAGTCACTCTGTGGTGTAAAAGTTGTTTGGCCTGCTCCTACTCTGTTTTTAATAAATAGATCCTCTTTGGATGCTGGAAAAGTCAAAGTCTTGCCCAGCTGCAAAGTGGAAAAGGGAATTAGCCTGAATATGCAAGTACAGGAAAGGGGTTCACCTTCAACAGGCAACAGCCCCCCAGTCAGAGGAATCGGTGCAGGGCAAAGTGGTGTTGTACCTTCAGAGACTTGCACAGAGAGGTTCCCACCAACAGGACAATTCCTATCAATGTATGATTTCACTTTGCTCCCCTCTCTGCCCATCCTTCCCTTCTTCCCATTCTGCCATTTGCTTGGATTCCAGTCCTGGATTTGTGTGTACTACATCTGTTATGCCCCCAATGTGCTTAGTGATTTAAGACTAAAACAGCTTACCTCAAAAAGCCAGAAACAAAGGAGACTGAGCAGTCTCATGACCTTAGGAGGAATAATCCCATTACTTAATTCAGACAGGTTTGGTTCACTTCTAGTAGACATCCCACGAAAAGGCCTTACGATTGTTGGGTTGTGTTGAGCAGGTTATGCAGTATTGTTTGGTGGACGGCCAAGTTGTCCTAGTGCACATCCCAAAGGGGGTCCAGAGGAGGTCGTCTCTATGATGTCATGCTTTCTCTATCCTTCTTCCTGATTGAATAGGATTCTCTCGCTAAGATGTGTACTTGAAATGTGGTGAAAGTCAGTTTACAGTAGAGCACCTGCCAAATACTGAAGGTTTTTTTTTTTCACTGCATGAGATCACTGGTACAGATTTTGGCTAACTGAATTTTTGCCGCACTAGATTGCAAAATAATGTATTGTATCTGTAAAGGGGAAGCAACAGAAACCTTAGAGTTAAGCTCTTCAGCTCTCTTGCTTTGTAGCAATGCATTTGCTTTCAGATTTATATAAAATGTTAGACAAGCCGACTGTGGCCTCCTTGTGGGAACCAGCTGTCTGAGATGGCAAAGTTTCTGTGCGTGTTTGTGTGTGTGCACGTGTATTTACTTGAGCCTGTCTTAGGCTTCACAATTGCGTTCTGTGACAAAGTTTAACCTAATGCAGGTGCAGGAAGTCTTCATACCAGTGGCTTTTTCACTGAGTTTTGTTCAAGAACTAACTTTGAAATCTGTTGGCTCAGGAAATGAAGAAACGACGTATAGCCAAGCCATTTTCAATGGAAAAGCTGCTGTATCAGATTGCAACGGCAGAAGCAAAAAAGGAAAATGGGCCGACTCTGAGTACGATATCGTCACTTCTTGGAGAGCTCAGGTAACAAATAGAAACCTGTTCCAATTACTCTGTGCTCCACGAGCAAACTTCTAAGAACGATAGTCTTAAGTCTCAATTTGAGACAAAACTTCCAGCTACTAACCTAGCAAACCCACTTCAACACAGCCACAAATGGAAGCAATAGCTTATTTGGCTGTTTTTGAAGACAGCGCCAGCGGTTAAGTTCTCGCTCTCTCTCTCTCTCTCTCTCTCTCTGTAAGCATTCCCTGCCTCCGGTACCACTGAAGAATTAATAACTCTAAGGTTTGGTGCGGGTTTGTATTTTTAAAAAAATTTGATGCTAGGAGTCAGGATTTCCTGATGCACTAAAACATAAGCAGTATGGTTTCAAAGTGTTCAGCTTTTCTTTTGGAGCGAAAGGCTTTTACTCTCTTGGTGCCATTCCAGTTACAGATTGTGCACCAAGAAAGCTCAGTGGTAGTGCTGAAGATACTTGTATAGCATAGTACATTTTAACGCGACAAGTTTTTTCTTTTTAATTTCTTCTATTTCTGCATTGGCGATATTACATCTTGCACTAGCCCTTGAGTATGTCCTAGGAACCAGTTTGTACTCTTTTTTTCCCCTCCACAGACATCAAGAAATAGTACGTAGGGTTTCACAAGTAATATGTAGGGAAGCATAATAGCACATTGCCTTGCTTCTTATGTAATGATCTTGTCTTTTGTTCCCTACCATGTAGTGTTGCCTGTCTTTCAAGTTTGACAACTGGGTAGTACTGGACGTAGTACTCAAGTAATCGAAGGGTCCAGAAACAGTTTTGATGAGTGGAATCTACAAACTGTATTTAACAAAACTAGCATGTTCATTTGGAAAATGTCCAATGACACATTAAGGGCGGGGGGAAAACCCTCATGATGTGTATTAGTGTTTAAAATGAAATGCAGAACTGCTTGCAGGTGTTCAAGGACAGTTTATCTGCAGCCTACTCCCCTGGGGGAATAATTGTATCCACATGCATTTTTCCTCCAAGGGGGAAGAGTCTGCAAATGTGAGGGGCACTAGTCCTTGCTGTTGCAATGCCACATTGATCTTTTATCAGGGTAGTTCTCAAACTCGTTCATATCCTGGGTAGCTTCTTAAGGTCAGAATCCTCTGGAGATGTTTGCCCTGTGCCTGCCATCATCAAACCAAACCAAAGCCAAGTTTCTCCTGGGTGTTTTTTGGTCTGCATCTCTTGGTCCCCACCTGCCTGTGGTGGTCAACTTGTGGGCCTTCCTTTTCCCAGTTGATTAGCTTGTCCACCTACTTTTTTAGCCATCTTTACTATTAAGCTGCTGCTGTCTCCCTTCTTCCTTCCTTCCTTCCTAGTTCACTTCCATGGGCAACTCTCCTCAGCCCAGCTCAGACCACATTCCTGGCTCTTCCCTCATGCTGCGCAGTGCAGCACAAGTAGTGTTGCCTATTTTCTAGACACAGGAGACTCATCTCCCTTCCTAACCAAATCCCCATCCTCTGCTCCCTAACTATGCAGCAAGACGGTCTTTTGGCATACTCGCTCACCCTGCTCCCACTGTCTCAGCAACAGGAAAGCTCATCTCTGCCTCCTGGTGTAAGGAGTTACACCATGCCTCCTGGCTGCTTCTCCTCAAGACAATTTTTAGGAACTTGAGGAATATCAGCCCTGTTAGCCACAGCACCCAGCTCTCCACGTGGACTTGTGGACCTCTAGGAAGTGCTCTGCAGTTTCCAGTGCTCTGTGAATCAGTTTAAGAACCATTCTTTTGATACACTGGTCGCTATTAAAATCTCTGGAGGACTGTTGCGGTTAGGTATGGGTATGACGGTGCTAGCAGAGTCCCTCCTACCATCTGTAGGGAACGGTGCCAGGCCTCAGGTGGAACCTGGAGTTCTGCTGTGTGTGAAGGTTTCAATGGCGATCATGGTACAAAGGGACCTGAGTGCAGTTCTGTGGCATTGCAGGGGAGATGCCAGTTTTCTAACTTTGTAAAATGTTTGCAGGGACACGGAGCTGAGGCAGCGACAGCAGCTTTATGAGGCAGGTCTGCATTCTTCAGCCCGCTATGGGAGCCTCGACAGCAGCAGTTCGGGGATGGATGGAAAGAAAAAGCCTCGAAAGTGGTTGCAGTTAGAGACGTCGGAGAGGAGGTGTCAGATTTGCCAGCATCTATGTTACCTGTCAATGGTAAGCAAAATACTTGGCACACCCTGTGGCATCACTGTCCTTGCAAACACAACTCCATCTTCAGCTGACTTTACTATTAGACCATAAATACTTGGCAAAAGCACACAACTGCTGCACAGCCACAGGTTGCAATACAAAGAGCACAGGCCTGAAAGATGACTAGATTTAATTTAGGTTTACCACAAGGAGCACTGACTTGATCCCTGGTGAACAGAAGGTTGACTTCATTCTAGCTTCCTCTTCCCTGCAGTCAGGGCTACATGTTGCCTTGTTTGGGGAAAGGAACAAACTGAAGAGCTCTCCGCCCCAGTTGACGTATGCTGGCAATTCAGATGCATACCCAGGATCCCAGGCAGGCTTGCACAGCCTACTCTGTCAGGGCTTCACTGCTGCTGGCCCTCAGGCTAGCCTAGAGTACAGCCAACTCAACTGCGCCTACATCTGCTGGGGACAGTGGGTTTGTAGGGCAAACCCAGGTCACATTTCCAAACTTCTCTCCACAACTACAAGGGCTAAACACTTGGTTATGGGGGGAGGGGAGCAAAAGGAACCAAAGCCACACTTCATATAATAGTTTATGTCCAGGAGTTGGGATGTAACACACAGAGGGTCAGACTGCTGACTGACACCCAGCAGGTGTGTCAGTGTTTCATGTCTTTCTACCCATCTTTGTTTGGCTGGATTTCTGGTTATAAACATTCATCTTTGAATAAGCCGTATTTAAATAAAGTTAGTCAGAACTAATGAATTGAATTTCTGTGATGAAAAACCACCATCTAAAGGAAAGACCAGACACTTTATGGAAAGCTCAGTGTCCACAGGTACCACTGAACCAGTTCATGGAGGATTAGTTCAGGTCTGTTTTTGAAATGGTGCCAGTTGAAGCTGGTTTATTAATTTGTACATTTGGATACTTGCAATTTAAACCACATCTAAAATAGTCTGTGTTGTGTGTGTCCATGTCCTAAAAGGCAAACTTCCATGTGCAAATTTGGTCATAAGAACTCAACTGAATGAAAAATGTGTTCGTTCTCTTGTTACTTGCAGAGACCGTAGCAAAGGAGATGACAGCTGGACCCAACTGTGGCTCAGGGATCAGCAACAGAAAAGTTACCTTGCTAGTTGCAGGACTGAATTCTCTACTCATTTAAATCTGTCCACCCTGTTCAGAGACTATTAGATTGCTTACTGAAGGACGAGTTTGTCGTATAGGATGTGTATTATTCTTGAAGTCAGTGATGGAGGACAGAACCCAGGTTGGTTCAGAGATCCCCAGCTGAGTTTGCAAGGCTAGCAGTCAGGAATTTTTCCCCCCATTTTTGCACCGAGCAAAAGTGATGTGGACTCAGTGAAATGTACTGATTTAAGGAATCCTGTGAAGCAGTTCCCAACTTTAGCCCCATTCTAGATTGTATCTAAACTGATGTTTAAGGGCTTCAATTCTGTACTCATGTCAGCTTGGTTTTGTTCTTCACGATTTATTGCTGTTTCACCATCACTGTTACTGGTAATAAAAGAACTGTATAAGCCCCCAAAATGCCCTCTGCTTCATTTCCTTCAGAGTCCAGCTTCTCATCCTCTGCGTTGAGTATGCAATGTAGTAACAAAAGGGTTGTCCTTAGAGCCATCAGCATCCAGCCTATCGCCTGCTAGTAGTTTAATCACCACACCTTGTAGTACAATCCCTTTTCTCAGAAGGCTCAGCTGTCACCTCCACATGTGGAGTACAGCAAGTTTAAAATCAAGAACAAGCACTTTTGAATTCAACAATGAACCCTGATTTATCTACAGAAAATGGCTAACTTTTAAATAGCTTGAATTCAGTTAAGAACCTTACAATTTATGGAGGATTTCTTGATAGCCTGCTCTTGTTGGAGAGGGCTGGAGTGTTAACTAACAGCTGGAGGGGCCAGGACTCCTGTTGTGTACCTCATTATAAACACGGACACTTGCTACAGTGCAGGACTTCTTTAATGCAAGTAGGATATGGACTGAGGGGGAAGTCTGAGGAAGAAAGCAGGAGCACTCAGGAGCATTTTCTCTTGAGACTGGGTGTAGAAAAGTCACTGCAGCCTTTTGCTTCAGCTAGGGAGAGTTAAATTCATTTATCCTTGCAGCATTGGTATTTATTGGTGCTTAAGATTAAATAGTTCGTCACAGAAATGCTGGGTGAAGAGGACAGGAGAAATCACAAGTTTCTTCCCCCGCCCCCCAGTTCATTCTGATCTCTCACCTTTTCCAGACATGCAACAACTTGCCTTCTGCCCCTCTGATCCTAAAGAGCAGGGAGGAGCCTGCTACCTTAGGTATTCTTGGGGGGTTTTTTGTAGCCATCCCCTGGGTGAACAGATTTCTTCTTTATACTTATTCTCTCTGCCCCCTTGAATCAGAGGCAGTCAGCAAAAGAAGTGCTGTGCGCTGGGCCAAGCCCTCTCCAAATCTGCACTTACACACCAAACAGTGTGTTGGATGTGACTTGGTTTTGGATCTTATTGTTTTCCCTCTGTGTTTCTGTTAGGTGGTTCAGGAGAACGAAAACGTCGTCTTCTGCCTGGAGTGTGCCCTGCGGCATGTGGAAAAACAGAAGTCTTGTCGGGGACTGAAAATGATGTATCGTTATGACGAGGTCTGTACCATATAGCTGGTTGTCTTCAGGTTGGTGATGGCACTGGCTTCTAGAATTGAATATCTGCGCCCAGTCTTTCTTACCCTGTTCCTGTCTCTTGTGACAGAGGCTCCAGTAGATCGTGTATTTGTTTTCTGGGACAAGAACAACGTGCTTTTTTGCTGGTTATCACAGTACCATAAGCAGAGATTGAAAATATTTCTCTACAAAGATTAGAACTAGAAGATATTAATTGGTTTAGGACCCTTTCAAATGCTGAAGCAATATACTCAGTAGTCAACTTAAAGCAACCTCAGCTCAAAGACTAAGTGAAAGTAATTTCTTACTTGCTGTGTGTCCAGTCAGAACTTGGGCATGGAGGGCCCATAGTGTACAGGTGGATGGAGTCACTGTAGTAATGTGAGCCAGGTTAGAAATGAAAAAAGCAGAGGCTCAGAGGTGCAAGTTTAGGAGTGGTCTTGGATTCCTTGCTCTGCTCCTACATAGCAGCATCTGTTAGTAGTAATCACTCATACTAGCACTGTATACTACTCGGTAGCACTCACTACATGGTAGCACCTGGCATCTCCAGCTGGCTTCTGTCCTGGGGAAGCAAAGACTAACACTGAAGGCAACGAAGTAGAGAGACTGATAGAGAGGGGGCTGCCAGCTGTACTTGACAGATGCATCAGGAAGAAGCCATTTATTGTTTCCATGAGTTGCAGGTAGCGAAGATGACTTCTGGACAGGGGGAGGGGACCTGCAGATCCATTTTTGGGTATTCAGTCTTTAGTCCTTGCTGCAGTTTGAAGTTATTTTCTTTCAGCTTTAATAAATACATCACTAAAAAGCCCAACTAACAGGTTACCAGGGGGCTTGGGGGGCAGATTGTACAGTTACATTGTTCTGTTAAGCCCCCTGGACCCATATTGGGTACTGCTGAATCTCTCTCCATCTCTCAGGTAGACATTGCGACTGTAAGGCAGTGTCATGAGAAAGAGGGAGCCTCATGAAGCTCTGCTGAACATCTGAGCCCAAGTCATTTCTCCAGACATTCGTAGCTTTGTTGCAGAGATGCTTTCTCAGGGCCTTTAACCATGTACCAACGTTTTAAAGTTACTCCTTTCAACAGGATAGTGGATGCTAATGACTCACGTTAGCTGGACACTAATACAGTGAGGCAGCTGCTGTTGTGAGGAGGGCAAAGAACTCTCCTTCAGTATCTCAGTGCTGTCTACTAAGGGTTAACTTAATGGCAAAACTGGTGAAACATTTTTATATCTCAAAATCAAACTAACTGCAGCCCTGGCAGGTCTTTCTCTTGGACCAAACATGGTGTGGCATTCATGAGCTCTTGCTATGGAGATGGCTGGGTTTGGAAGGGGGGTTCTGCAATCATCTGTAGCTGGAAAAAGAGAAACAGAACTGTTAATTGGTTTGTTTTTCCTCCTCTTCAAACAGGAACAAATCATCAGCCTAGTCAATCAAATCTGTGGAAAAGTATCTGGTAAAAATGGCAGCATTGAGAACTGTATCAGCAAGCCTACACCAAAAAGAGGGCCTCGGAAGAGAGCGACAGTCGACGTGCCATCATCTAGGCTTTCATCCTCCAGTTCATCCAAAAGTGCTTCAAGTTAATCCTGAAGATGCCAACACTCTCATTTTGTCGATTTATATATATTTTTTGTAATTATTATACCATAGTTTGGAGTACTTGCTGTAGAATACAAGCTGTCTTTGCACTAGCTCTAAAGAAGATTTTCTTCTGGTTTTAGAGAACTAATTTTGTTTTAGCATTAAACTGTTGAATTTTTTTTGTACTTAGGATAGTTAGATACAGCAGTCAGATTTTTTTAAACTGCCGTATGTTCACTGTTTTAAAACCGGCGAGGGGCTGATAAAAATTAATTTGTATTGTCCCTATGGCTGAAAAAAAGCCTTTTTTTCTTTGGTAACTGTGAAAAAAGGCTTTCAACCCATTTTGAATAGGTTAAAGTTTGATGTGTTTTATAATTTGTTCTCCAGTCATGTGAGCAGATTTTTTCTAGAGCGAAAAGGGATAGGAGACAAAACTTGAAAGATATTGCTTTACTTTGGCTGTCTTTTATTCTGTCACGGCAAGATGAGTTTTGTAATTTTTTAAATTGGAGAATACGCTCTTTCTTTGGGAGGTTATGGCAGCTGAAGATGGACTTTGGTTCCTAACCGTAGGCAAAATGAGATTTGGAGTAAGTATGTTCTCTTTTACCAGCACATCACTATGCATCTGTTCGAGGGGGAAAAATAAAAAATAAAAAAAAGGAGGAAAAGAAGACTGCCTGCCTTGAGGAGTCACGTGAGGGGAAAACTGTGCCTGATTTCATTAGGAAATCCATTCTGTTATTTTTTGGTGCTGTTGGCTACTTTATCAAAAACCCTTCAATAGCATCCTTAAAAAGAAAAGAAAAATAAAGTGATTGAAGCCATAAGTGCTTCTTTGTCATAGACGTGCAATCTTTCTAACATTCCATTTCCATTCCACTGCTGTTTTTCACACCCTTTACACAGTCGAGCATTAATGTTTATTTTGAATTTGTTTCATTATATGATCACATTTAGAGCCACTAGCAGGTCTGCCTATTTCTTTTGAATGTGAAAATGCATTTGCTTTCATCTTGTCTATTTTTTTCTCTTCATGTTGTAACAAAAAAAAAAACCCACAAAAAAAAAAAACAAATCACACCTTTTGTACATATACCTGTAAATTTTTTTAAATACTTGAGCCTTTTCTTGGGGTGGGGGGAGGGGTGATGCGGAGACAAGATGAAGAAAAGCCTTACGTTTCACTTTCTTCATCGGTTGGATTGGATGCTTACAGGGTTTTTCTTGTAACATTTATAAGTGCTGCTTACATCACTGAACAACAACAAAAAATAATAATGGAGTAGCTGTTGCCCTTTTCTGGTTGTGTACAGTATGTGTGGAATAAAAAAGGGAAAATGTTTTCACAAACTGTTTTGTTTCATAATTGAATTCAACAATACCGTAGCTACCCATATTGCACTGAGCTTGCCAGTGGTGACTGTCAGGAAAGTCCTATAATACAATTTGTTGGTTGTTGTTGCAGAAGACTGAACTGTTTTGGAATATTTAACAATAACATAAACAGAGTCAAGTGTTTTCAAATGTGGTTGTCTGGTTTTTATGGCCTTGCTGTGTACTTTTCCCTCTTGACAGTAAACTTCTGACTATGGCTTACAGTTTGACATTTAATTTATTAGCGCTGCTCTGCTCTCTTTCCTTGTAAGGAAAGACTTCATGTTGTTTATTGCCAGGTTTTTTTTTCCTTTTGTTTACTTTCCAGGTTTGTACTACGAGGTTTAATAAAAAAAAGAAAACTTTTTTGGACATTGTGTGTCTTCTGGGAAGTTAGTGAATGAAAGGGTCTGCTTATCTGAAAGAAAGCATTTAATTTCATCTGCAACTCGTTAGTAAGTTGCCAGTTGGCCAGTTATTATCTAGACTGTTTGTGTCCTGACTTAAGTTGGAAACTACCTGCCAAACAGCAAGAGAAAGCTGAATCTACAAGAAAGCGGTCCGTCCCAGGCTGGCAGGTTTCAAGGACTTCCTCATTCTACTCCAGTAGCTTTGCCAGCAAAGGGGGGGCGGGGGTCTTCCGAAAGGAGCTTCTCTTGTTATTCATCCTTTACCTAAACTGCTTCTGATTATACTATCCCCCTCAGTGCAGGAACAGCAGAAGCCAGGATCTTCCTAAAGGCAAAGCTACTCTTTTGAAGTAGCCAGAGTGAGGCTGGACAAGAAAGAGGTGTCATACCTCTTCAGATCTTAGAAGGAGGGAACTACTGTCAAGGATGGGAGGGAAGCAGAGGCACGTAGCAAACGCCTCAGCCTTTTAGAAGGATTTCATGGCAGTCATTTTTCCAGGTAGCACACTGCTCAAACTGATGGTATACAGAATAAGCCTTGCCGCCTCCCCCCCCCCCCCCC